TGCAATTGAAACTCAGGCCCTGACTAAACTGCTAAAACGCAGTTTCGAATGCAATTACAAACTGTAACCCTGACTGCGCCATAGTTTTTTTTTTTTTTTTTTTTTTTTTTTTCAGAGAACACCCTCTGCAACAGATAGGAGTGATGATATAGGCATGCACTCCTATCTACCCTTAACTCACCAGCACCCTACGAGCCACCTTCCCGAACCTCTTTTTTGGGGGGTTACCAAAGCTCTTCGTTTTATGTGAACGCAACTGATAGAGTAGCGGGCGACCAGTCCTTCAATGTGGGCGCCCGATACTTGGTGTTTCTTCCTTTTTCCAATTGATTTTTTTTCCCCTGTTGTTTTGTTGAAAAAAAAAAGAAATCCGTGTTGGGTGGTCGCGACCGAGGAAAGAGCTGCCAACGACAATGGTGGGAGGCCTGAGGGCTTCGCTCCACTACTTGCCAAAGAAAAAAAAAAATCCGTGTTGGGCAGTCGCGACCAAGGAAAGAGCTGCCAATGACATTGGTGGCAGGCCTGAGGGCTTCACTCCACTACTTGCCAAATGTGCAAAGGAGGAATGAATCTTTGGCTAGAACAGTGGAAATATACACAGCCATGATTTTCGTCTCTTGTGCATGTGGTGAGCAACGGAGCCAGGCAAATCTGGCAGGACTTGCGGTCTGTCAAACGTGCCATTTTCAGGGGCAGTACGCGCCATTTTCGGGGCAGTTTTTTTTTTTTGTGGGACCATATCTCATGCTAATCTTCTCTGTATCATTCCGGGTTATGCACCAAGTTCATTCTCATGTTGACAGAGTGTAGCTGCCCACTACATTCAGAAAAGACAAACTGTGTGTTGTACCCTCGTTTTTTTTTTCTTGTTTTGACCATATCTCGATTTATGTGTCATTCTTGCCCTGGGCCGCTGTATTGTTCGAAGTTACGGCACAAGATGCATTCCCACTTTGAACAACTGGAGGCAGTGCAGCTACCCGACCTCCTCGTTTTAGGACTTAACAGCCCGTCAAACGTGCCATTTTCAGGGGCAGTACACGCCGTTTTCGGGGCAGTTTCCTCCCCCCCCCCTTGTCTCTGATGTTTTCTTTTTTTAACGAGCCAACACTGGCAGTACCCTCACTCCTCACCACACAAACAAAGGACAAACGTGCTGTTTTTTCTTTTTTTTCAGCTTTTTGTTTTTTCCATTGTGAGAAATCATGATATTGTGGTCACTGGTCGTTGCTTCTCGTTTTTAAAACGAACGACCTCTGTAGCTCTGTCGAGGCTCTACTCAGCCTCTACCGACCCTGCCCAGGCCTTCCATGAATTCAGGAAGAGCAACAAGTTTGGCTGGGTAAGGTACTGGTGGTTTAAGGGTGGCTCCAGTCTATTGGTGGGGAACATCACCTGCTGGAAAGTGGGTCCAGCGTCCCCATTGAATAAAAAAGAGTCGTTATACATAAAGCATGAATGGGGGCAGTGGCGCCTCTTCAGTCCTTACTAGACCGCCGGATCAGTCTAAAACAACAAACTGCCCTGCCCGTCAGAAAAAGTGTAAGTAATTGACAATCACCCCCCTTCTCAACCAAATCATTGCAAATCAACCATAGGAGATGGAAGATCCTCTTGAGAGATTCCTCCATCCCTTCCCCACCTGGCCACTCCACCTTACCAGGCTTTTCCCTTGAGTTCCCCCCAGCCAGTTCAAGACAAAATTTTGAATTGTTTCTTGTATATCCTTCTTTTGATGTAATTTCATAAGTCTGATCTTAGTTTTTTCCATTGTGCTCTAATCTCAGTCTGAATAAATTGAACAATTATCTCATAAATTTTCCCCCCTTCCAAGGCTACGTTTGTACCAAAGGGCCCATAATACTGTCTTTCTGCGTATAGTAAACAGATTACGCTGAAACTTAGAAAGTTTGAAGTCTATAGGTTTCCAATAGCCCAGCAAGATCGCGCCATTCCCACGGTCAATCTATCCCAGTCAGACTCCTCCAACAGCTATCCCACCGTCGCCATAATAGGACCGCACTCGGACACTGCATAAAAATGGGTTCAATAGCTTCACAAATTTTCTATTAGGGAAAGTCATATGACAAAACTTACACCATGGGGAAGCTAAACCACTTTGTTACAGACTTGAATGATCAATAAGCCAGTCATTCGTCAGCAAACATCGGTGAATAATCTGCCATTGAAGGGAGGCAAATTTAGCGGGTCTCTTGTTTTAAACTGTTAAAAAAAAATTATGTTTTTAAGAGTATTACTGTCAATATTCAAGTGTCTAGGCCATCGTTCTTGCACAATTGCTGCTACATTCACCTTTGGTCTAAGAAGATGATATGTCGCCTTAACCATCATGGATTGTAGGGTTCTTGATTTTTCATTCTTACCAGTCTTCCAGACCCACTTATCAAGGTTCAGGGGGGGATTGGAATAGGATAATGAGGATGGTACGCTCTCCGGCTTTTTGTTGAAGAGTAGTACACCACACGAATCCTGTAAAGGTCCCAAAACGAGAAAAACTTTACTTGATTATTTTGGGATGGGTGAAAGAAAAAATCTTCAGTCATCTTACAAATACTCATAATAACCCCTTCTGAGTGAATATGAACGATTTGACCCACCTCCCATTGTTCTGAACCAGTTCCTACTACCCAATCTCCCTCTTTGAAGAAGATGTATTTCCTTAGTGTTCTAACCCAAGCTAAGGGGATGGAGAAGATGATCTCCTCTAAATTGTAGGAAAGTTGGTGGGCATATATGAGTCTGCCTCTTCATTCCTCCGCTGTTAACCGGTTCCTTTTTTTTTGTCTCATATATCTTTGATCCTTAACACTCATTTTTTAACCCATAGGGACCATGAAAGATCGGAACTTTTGAAAACTACACCATTCTGATAAGAGATCCATCTGTTTTCAAAGAGGGGTTGCCTGAGGACCTCCTCATAACGGGAGGGGAAACGTCTATAGGGTAAAGGTAAATTGCGCCATATTTTCAATAAAGATACTCATAAGTTATCCAACAATAAATCTCTTCTAACTGCTTCCCTCAAACCCTCTTCTCTAAACTGTGTCTTTGCCCTTGGAATGCTCCAAAATAAATCTTCAACTCATGTGAGAGGGTGAATATCCTCTATGTTTTGTGGCGCCAATCTACGAATTTGTGTCAGAGTCATAGGTTATCAGGGCTTATCATTATAAAAAATCAGTTATTTTAACCATTGGAGTCCTAGCGACTGACATTGCACGGACGGATCAATAAGCCATAATCCGCCTCTTAGTTTGGGTTGGATAGGGGAAAGTCATGTCACTTTAGGGATAACATTTTCTAACTCATGGTTGTCTCTCCATAAAAATGTCGCCACTTGTTTTTGTAGTCTCTTTGTGCTGGACTTAGTGATCGCCCATAAAGCGGATTCGTACCATATGGATGCTAAGACCATATTGTTAATAATCAATGTTCTTTCAGTCAAAGAAGTTTGTCGGTTTTTCCATTGATTCATTTTCTCAATCGTTGGACGAGAAATTCAATCGTCATTCGATATCGGTTTGCCTAGTGCCGTAAGAGAGACCCCCAACAACTTCACAGGAGTTTCTAATGGAAGTCACTTCACTATCGGATATTTTGAGGAACG